GTGATGCAATTAAAGGCTAATATTGCATCATCTCAGTATACATGCAATTTTCTATTGGTCACCAGTATCAATTGCGCAATATGCAGCTGAAGTTGCATCATAATTTTGAATGGCTTACGTCATTAGATGGGTGAATATATCATGGAAACTAGAGCCAATCAACATTTTTTAGGGTCATTTTCGTTTTCAGCACCCCAAAATTATGTAAGATTAGCTAATTTTATGCCCAAAACTTTTTACCTGTTAAACAGTGAAGCTAAAGTAGCAAAAACCTCTCGGGTTCCATCTAGTGGCCGCTACAATATCCACATTTATAATTACTATAAAACATAGAACATTTCACATTATAGGACCTATTCAATTATGGAATGTAATGAGTGTCAATTATTGGGCCCCAATTCATGGCAAGCCAATCAAAGAACTAAAATCAGTCATAAGGAACAAACAAGGGTAGTTCCAAATATGTGAAAAGACCTATTAACTTTATATTACACTTAATCCAAACCATATGTATACAAAAAAAAGAAAACATAAACCCCATTGGACTAAGCCATGGGTAACCCACATATTATAAATGTTAGAGAAAAAAATATTGAAATAATAAAAATAAATAAAATAAAAAATTAAAAAAGAGGAGGATAAAGACACATCAAGTTGTTAAGAATGGGACAAAGCTTAGGCTATCATTAAGCCCGAGGGGTTTGGTGGCTTCGAGCTCCCATATCCACCTTGCTTCATGTTGGAGTACAAATTTATTGAACCCCCCCTCCCCCCTCAAGTGTCTTGGGGGATAACTTCCAAAACCCAGAATTTAAGGGATTTGGGGCTTCTATTATGTTCCAGACATACATGTATTGCCAATGGAAACTTAAAGTGGTTGTAAACCTTGCACAGCAGCAGAAGTCTTATGTTCCTACGAAAGGAGGCCAGGAAAGGAGCAGCCAGTCATCCTCTCTGCATTCCTACAGTGAAAAAACCCAACACATGAAAAACAATTGTGTCGCCCACACCCCCTCTCCTGTGACTGACGGACTAATTAGGAGTCTGATGCATGAACATGAGAGAAGGGGGCGTGTGTCCTTCAGCCATCCACACAGATTGCTCCCAAATTAACTGGGCACTCTTACTGTATAACTAGTAGGCACTACTTGAAAGTAGGGCATTACAGTATGTGTCCGGCTCTTGAGGGGTTAATTGTGATCCTCCTGCTTGGCTCTCTTCCCGGCAGCTGTGGGGTTAAATCTGTGTGAAGCTATTTGGCTCCCCTCCATTGATAATGATGACCTGATGTATCCCCCTCCTCTTTTTCTTCTCTGAATAATTCCCAACAGTTGCTCAGCTCCCTCCAGCCTATGAAAGTTTGCAGTCTCCTGTGCCTAAAATGCCGCCCATGCTTAAGGAGTTAACTGCTTTCAAAATCTCCTCAGGCTGGAGCTGAGCTTGACTGTTTCAGGAGTGATCTGTGTGGATGGCTGCTGGACACACGCCCCCTTCTCTCATGTTCATGCATGAGACTCCTAATTCATCTGTCAGTCACAGGAGAGGGGCAACACAATTTTTTTTCATGTTTCCAGTTTTTTCACTGTAGGAAAGCAGAGAGGATTTCAGATGACTGGCTGCTCCTTTCCTGGCCAGACTAGGGACAGATTACTTCTGCTGCTATGCTGTGTGAGGTAGACTGGTCATTTAAATTTTGATTGTTTTGGGTGTACAACCACTTTAAGATGATATGTGGAGATCTTATATAAATGATCCTGAAATCTCTTCCAGATTGTTTGAATGGTCTTGCCGATGTAGAAGGACCTGCAGGCTCAGAGGATAACATATGCGACCCCTGCTGTGCTGCATTTGGCTCTCTCTCTGCACCTGAGGGTCCTTCCCGTTAGCAAGACCAGTCTTTCCCCCTCAACCAAAAAGGGGCCAAAGACGTGGTCTTTCTATAGATTATATTGGGGTAATCCCTCACATACTTTTTAAGGGTCTTCCTTTAGTAAATGCCAATGTTCGGCACAAATATTTTTTACACTTTCTGACATTTCGGTATACTGTATATTCAGCGTAATCACCTCCTGAGATTCAAAAGTTCTTTCCTTGTGGCCAAAAATTAATTTCTCACTGTCGGGATTCCTTGCTCTTTGATATGCCTTAGTAAGCCATTTCTTTTTATATCCCCATTGTGAAAATCTCTCACATAATTTAGATGCCTCTTCTTCAAAAATCTGAGGGATCCAAGCAATTTCTTCGCGCCCTCAGATATTAACCAACCAGGATATCCTAGACTAACAGGAGGGGATGAAAAACTCATGGCATCCAATAAATTGTTTGTAGCTGTGGGCTTCATGTACAGTTTTGTTTTGACACCTCCATTGCCATCCAGTTCAACCTCAAAATCCAAAAATTGCACTTCCTTGATGTTATACTCATTAGTGAGTTTTGGATTATAAGGATTGAGGATGAGCCCACTCACAAACTGTTGGGCCTGTTCCACTGTCCCAGTCCAAAGTATAAGAACGTCGTCAATGTACCTGTGCCAGGATAAAATTCTGGACAGGCACACCGATGATAACCCCCCCCCTCCAAAAAGCCATGATTCCCAGTCCCCCAGATATATATTTGCATATGCTGGGGCACATTTAGTGCCCATAGCCATGCCTTGGGCCTGGAAGAATGCTTTATCGCCAAATTGGATCTTATTATGGGTCAACAAAATTCCAAAAAATCAATGATAAACTGACTTTGTTTCTGTTTGTCCATTGCTCTACTGCCCAGCGTCTTTTTAATGACATGGAGTCCCTTAGAGTGTGGAATTGAAGAATAAAGGGCTTCAATATCAAGGGTAAGAAGAATGGTATCCAAGGGAATGGTCAAGTCATGTAAAAGTGTCAAGAGGTGCAACGTGTCCCTCACGTAGGAAAGTGGATTTATTACAAAGGGCTGGATAGTTTTATCTATATATTCACAAGATTTTTTTAGTCAAGGATCCTATCCCTGAATTTGTAGGACAGCTGTGGTGGGTCTTTAATTGAATTATGAATCTTTGGGAGGGCATAAAACACTAGAATTCAGGGATGCATAACCCTCAAAACCTTTTCCTTATTAATAATATGATGTGATAGGCCTGATCTATACTGGCAAATAGACGTGCATTCTCTCTTTCTAAATTTATACCAGGGATGGGAATATACCAATCTTTGTTATTTAAAATGCATTTACACATTCCCATATATTTAATCCTATCCATGATTACAATATCCTCCCACCCCTGTAGCAGAAGTAGACAGCAGAGAGAAATGGCACTTAGTGCTTTGGAGAGAGGCGGGTAAACACTACAGAAATGCGTGCTTTGTTCAGATTACATGTCCGAGATTTACAACCACTTTGATGTAAAATACATAACTGGTTGAATTTGCATTTTATATTTGCCTGGAGATCTGTTTTAAATTATGCTTCTGTAGACCAGGGCAGAGCCTAATTAAAGACAAATAGGGATACAGGCAAAGTATCAGCTTCGAACCCCTTTAGTTCAACCATTGATTTCAATGTTACTTGGGCACATGACCGACTCAAATATCACTTTTTCAGACTAGCAATAACTCTTAAAGCAGGCACTAAAGATGCTGAAAGTCCATTTATATATTAGCTGCCCTGAAACACCACGGTGTCCTCTTAAATCCTGCACTTCAATACGGTGCTCCAGCTTTCCTAACAGGTGAGACTACTCACAAGACCCAGGGAATGCCATGGAAACCCACCAGAAAATGATAGGAAGTTTGGGACAAAAGAATTGGGACCAATATACAACATAGTCATATATGTGAATCACTGTTTAACCTTCCAGAAATGCCAATTCTTCTTCATTTCAAATATAAAAGAATTAAAGATTCAATTTAGGGAAAAATAAATTTTAGCTCTACAGATCTAACTTACCTGTAATGAAGTTTGTCGCACATTATGCAGGCAGCTGGATGGAAATCCTCAATGTAGAGATGCCCCACCCTCTTCTTGTCTCTGAACTTCCAGAACACAGAAAAGATGTTTCATTATTTTCTATATATTGCAGAGAGTTTGATGAGTCACAAAATTCTCCCCCCTATTCACAGATCATGTTGCAGGCAGTAAAAGCAATGAAAGAACATTTCTCAATAGAGGAGGAGGTCGTTGTCAGGAACTATTTTTTATTGAATTTAGCCCAGATCCCAAAGCTAATAACTATATTTTTATTCAGAGCTGTCAGTCTGTGTGCATGTGTTTTACACAACCCCCAGGCACAATTGAACTCTGAATGGTCTAGGGTTGTTAATGGTCTACCTCAAGGTTTAGTGCTGGGACCCTTACTTTTTAATATATTTATAAATGATATAGGGTCTGGGATTAAAAGTAATATTTCAGTCTTTGCAAAATGACACCAAGCTGTGCAGTTGAATAATGTACTTACAAGATGTCTCCAACTTACAAGCCAACCCCAATACACTGTTTAATTGGGCAACTATGTGGTAAAAGAGGTTTAATGTTGGTAAATGTATAGTTATGCAATCGGGGGTTAAGAATATGCATGCATCATACATACTAGGGGAAGTACACATGGGGGAATCAATGGTGGAGAAGGATCTGGGTATTCTGGTAGATCATAAACATAGCCTCCCTAGCGGTCTGATTATGTCAGTATTTCTGTTCTCAAAGCGGTACATTTTTTTGCATGGAAATATGTATTTTTTTTATTGTAGGCCTGTAATTTTTAGGAATAACTTACTGAAATCTGTCCGAACAAGAGTCTAGTAAACATCCCGGGTATGTTAAAATTTGAAACACGAAATCATAAATTATATTTTAATAAATAATCATAAAAATAATAATTTAATAATAATAAATGTAATTAAATAATATAATCAAATCAAAAACACTGAAATTTGAAATATAGCTCAAAGTTCGCACATCACTGAGCAAAGTCACAAAATCGTTTTCAGTGTCCGATGACAAATTTCCCCACGAATCATTATCACTCAATTCTGCAAGTGGTTCTAATTTACTATCGCTGTTCTCTAGCTGGTCTAAAACTGCTTTTGACTTAAAGGGACGCTTTTTGGATGCCATGGACTTTTCTCAGTTTCCAGGCAGAAAGAACAGTAAAAATGCAGCCAGGACACAGGACAAAGCACTAGGGACAAAATATATGTGAAATGGTTTGCTACAGTAATGTTTAACTATGTGATCTTAGTGAAATTAGTGAATGTCAGTTTTACAACTTTCAAATTTCCCGCCAGTTCTGTCCCCCTTACGTCCTGACGTTACAGGGGACAGAACCCAGAAGACAGATGCCGGCATCCGCCGGAGGACATTACAGGGGACACTGCAAGAGGGACATCGTGGGAGCGCAGGACAAGGTAAGTGAAGAACAGATCCTGGAGCAGCACTGCAGGGTATTCCTGAGTGTAGCTAGAGGTTACCGCTTGTGGTACTGAAACTTTACCCCAAGCTACACTCAGGAATACCGCCAGGGAGGTTAATAATGGCATGCAATGCCAAGCTGCGTCTTCTAAAGCAAGCAAAATCCCCTTTTGTTTTAAAAGAGGTATAGACTCCAGAGAGCAAGATACATTATATTGCCAAAAGTATTGGGACACCCCTCCAAATCATTAAATTCAAGTGTTCTAATCACCTCCATGGCAACAGGTGTATAAAATAAAGCACTTAGGCATGCAGACCACTTCTACAAACATTTGTGAAAGAATGGGTTGCTCTCTAGAGCTCAGTGAACTCAAGCATGGTACCAAGATAGGTTGCCACCTGTGCAATAAGCCCATCAGTGACATTTCCTGGCTACTAAATATTCCAAGGTCAACTGTTAGTGTTATTATAACAAAGTGGAAGTAACCAGGAACAATAGCAAATCATCCACGAAGTGGTAGGCCACGTAAAATGACAGAGCGGGGTCAGCACCTGCTGAAGCGCAAAGTGCGCAGAAGTCGCCAACTGTCTGCAGATTCAATAGCTAAAAACCTCTAAACTTTGTGTGGCCTTCAAATTAGCACAACAACAGTGCACAGAGAGCTTAATGGAATGGGTTTCCATGGTCGAGCAGCTGCATCCAAGCCTTACATCACCAAGTTCAACGCAAAGCGTCAGAGGCAGTGGTGTAAAGCATGCTGCCACTGGACTCTAGAGCAGTGGAGACATGTTCTCTGGAGTGATGAATCACACTTCTCTGTCTGGTAATCCGATAGACGTGTCTGGGTTTGGCGGTTGTAGGAGAACAGTACTTGCCTGACTGGATTGTGCCAAGTTTAAAGTTTGGTGGAGTTGGGATTATGATGTGGTGTTGCTTTTCAGGGGTTGGGCTTGGCCCCTTAGTTCCAGTGAAGGTAACTCTTAAGGCATCAACATTCCAAGACATTTTGGACAATTTCATGCTCTCAACTTTGTGGCAACAGTTTGGGGATGGCCCCTTCCTGTTCCAACATGGCTGCACACCGGTGCACAAAGCAAGGCACCACAAAGCGGTACATAAATACATGGATGAGCGGGTTTGGGGTGCAGGAACTTGACTGGCCTGCACAGAGTCCTGACCTCAACCCAATAGAACACCTTTGGGATGAATTAGAGCGGAGACTGCGAGTCAGGCCTTCTCGCCCGACATCGGTGCCTGACTTCACAAATGCGCTTCTGGAAGAATGGTCAGACATTCCCATAGACACACTCCTAAACCTTGTGGACATCTTTCCCAGAAGAGTTGAAGTTGTTATATTTGCAAAGGGTGGGCCAACTCAATACTGAACACTATGGACTAAGACTGGGATGTCATTAAAATTCATGTGTGTGTAAAAGAAGGCATCCCAATACTTTTGGCAAAAGAGTATATACCTGTAATTTTACCCCTAATGTACAAATCATTAGTAATACCTCATCTGGAATATGCAGTTCAGCTTTGGGCAACAATTCCCAAAAAGCATACTGGGGAACTGGAGAAAATGCAGAGAAGGGCAACCAAACTGATAAGAGGCATGTAGGAGCTCAGCAGGAAAGATTAGAGGAACTGAATTTATTCTCTCTTGAGAAGAGGAGATTAAGGGGGGATATGATCAACATGTATAAATTCATAAGTGGTCCATATAGTGAACTCGATGTAGAGTTATTCACCTTAAGGTCATCACAGAGGACAAGGGGGCACTCTTTATGCCTGAAGGAAAAGAGATTTAATCTCCAAATACAGAAATGTTTCTTCATAGTAAGAACTGTGAAAATGTGGAATAGATTGACTCTAAAGCTGGTTCTGGCCAGGTCAGTAGATTGCTTTAAAAAAATGCCTGGATTCTTTCCTAGATACACATAATATAACTGGATACTAGCATTTATAGGTAAAGTTAATCCAGGGAATATCCGATTGAATCTTGGGGGATCATGAAGGATTTTTTTCCCCTGCAGAGGCAAATTGGACCATTTTTTGCTGGGTTTTTTTTGCCTTCCTCTGGATCAACTGTGGGTATAGGATATAAATTTCCTTTCCCCTTTTACGGTTGAACCAAATGTACTTGAGTCTCTTTTTTTTTCAGCCAGACTTACTATGTAACTGTATATTGCTGCATCTTCTATGTTGGCAACACCCTTGACCTTGTATTCACCCACCTATGCACTCCCTATAACCTCTCTAACACCCCTTTTCCTCTCTCTGATCACAACTTTATCAGCTTCACACTCTCCCTGCCTCCTACCTCCCATGCCTCCAACCAGCAAACCGTTACCTGTAGAAACCTCCATCACCTTAGCACCAACCTTCTTCACTCTGCTACTGAGTGCCTCTATGATGAAATTGCACCCCTGTCCTGCCCAGAACTGGCCACATCTGCCTACAACAATTAACTATCATCCTCCCTGGACGCTCTTGCTCCTCTTTCTACACGCAGAATCAGGCCTTACCTGTCACAACCCTGGCAAACAGATGACACCAGAAGTCTCAAGGGAAGCAGCAGCACTCTTGAGCGAGCATGGCGAAAAACTAAATCCCTGAAAGACTTTACCCTCTACAAATCCTCTCTTCTCAAATACAACTCCAGCCTCCACGCTGCTAAGCAAAAATACTATAACAATCTCATCAAGACCCTCTCATCTAATCCTCGTCAACTCTTCTCTACCCTTAATTCCTTACTCCACCCTCCACTGCCTCCACCCACCAACTTACTTACTGCACAGGAGATTGCCAGTCACTTCAAGAATATCGATACAATTCGTGATGAGATCTCCAGTGTCAAGCTTCCTCCTCTAACCAACATACCAGGCCCAACACCAAACTCAACACTCTCCTCCTTTGACCCTGTTACCACCAAGGAAGTTACCGAACTCCTTTCCAAGGCCCACTTCACCACCTGTCCCCTGGATCCTGTCCCCTCACGACTGTTGCAGCCTCCGTCCTGCTCTATCCTAAACTCTCTAACCCACATCTTCAATCTCTCACTCTCCATGGGCACCTTTCCCTCCCCACTCAAACATGCACTGGTTAGCCCCATCCTCAAAAAAGCCTCACTGGACCCCACCTGTTTGAATAACTTAAGACCCCTCTCCCTGCTCCCGTTTGCCTCCAAGCTTCTCGAGCGCCTTGTTCACAACCGTATGAACTGCTACCTCACTGACAACAACCTTCTTGATCCCCGACAGTCTGGCTTCTGCCCACAGCATTCCACAGAAACTGCCCTACTAAAAACTCACTAATGACCTACTAACTGCTAAAACCAACGGCCATTACTCTATACTCCTTGACCTTTCCACTGCCTTTGATACAGTTGACCACCCGCTCCTCCTCAGCAAAATTTACTCCATCGGCCTCCGTGACTCTGCTCTCTCCTGGTTCTCCTCTTACCTTTCTCAGCGCACTTTCAGTGTCACATACAACGCCTCCTCCTCCGCTCCACTTCCTCTTTCTGTTGGGGTACCCCAAGGTTCTGTTCTTGGGCCCCTCCTTTTCTCTCTCTATACCTCCTCCCTGGGCCAACTGATAACCTCCCATGGCTTCCAATACCACCTCTATGCTGATGACACCCAGATCTATCTCTCCACTCCCAAGCTCACCCTGACAATCTCCTCACATATCACAAATCTACTAAGCGACATATCAGCATGGATGTCACATCACTACCTTAAACTCAATCTTTCAAAAACTGAGCTTGTAATATTTCCTCCTCCTCGGTCCCCCACTCATGACTTGACCATTAAGATCAACAGCACAAACATTGGTCCTTCCCCTCATGCCAGGGTGCTAGGCGTAATCCTAGACTCTGATCTCTCCTTTGGGCCTTACATCCACTCACTGGCTAAATCCTGCCGCCTCAACCTCCGGAACATTTCCAAAATCCGCCCCTTCCTGACCAATTACACTAGCAAACAACTTATCCACACCTTGGTTATATCCCGCCTCGATTACTGCAACTCCCTCCTCACTGGTCTACCGTTACACAGGCTATCCCCCCTTCAGTCTTATGAATGCTGCTGTTAGACTCATACACCTTACCAACCGATCAGTGACTGCTGCCCCTCTCTGCCAATCCCTTCACTGGCTTCCACTAACCCAATGTATAAAATTCAAAATATTAACCACAGCTTACAAAGCCATCCACAATACTGCCCCTAGCTACATCGCCAACCTCATCCACAGATACCGCCCAAATTGCCCACTCCGTTCCTCCCATGATTTCCTCCTCTCTAGCTCCCTCATCACCTCCTCCCACACTCGCCTCCAGGACTACTCCAGAGCCTCTCCCATCCTCTGGAACTCTCTACCATAGCATGTACGGTCAGCCCTCACCCTGTCTGCCTTTAGGCAATCTTTGAAAACTCACTTCTTCAGGGAAGCCTACCCCACCTCCACCTAAGAACTGTACTTGAATCACCTCCACCAGATCATCCCCTGCAGCTATCACCTTTTGTATCACCTCCCCTAGATTGTAAGCTCCAAGAGTAGGGCCCTCACATTCCTTCTGTACTGAAAGTATTGTAATTGTACTGTCTCCCTTATATTGTAAAGCGCTGCACAAACTGTTGGCACTATGTAAATCCTGTATAATAATAATAATGTTATCTCAATTGACAGCTGTCTAGGGGCTCCGGGTTCCAGGAAAGAAAATATGCAGGCTCTGCACACTGTATGACTTCCAGGCTCTGCACACTGTATGACTTCTGTATGGCCATGTGCATGAAGCCTATTAGCTCCATTTACAAATTGGCATTATGGATGCCCTAAACTCAAAAAGAATTACCTCCAGTTTGTGGAAAAATTTGGAGATAGCTGAGACCCACTCTAGGTTGGTATTCATAAACAGTCAGAGTGCCTGTCTCTGCTTGATATATAGCAGAGCAGCATATTTGCTGCCACTAC